CATTTTAAGTCAGCTTTAGCAGTCACCTTGATGATTTGCTATTGATCCCGATTTTTTTCACCAAATCCCGATTTTTTTTCTCAATGAGATCCTGATTTTGAGGTTTCATAGAGTGGCAGGTCTGTCTCTGGTAACACCTCTAGTCTTGGGCACCTATATGATCTATTTGTGTTGCAAGTGCTGTGAAAGTCTTACTAAATCTGAGCAAACTGAGGGAACTGTTGCCTTTTCTATCCTCATCCTTTATATCGTCATTTTTTTCTCTACTTCTTTTGTATGTTTGTCACTCTCTTGTGAACTGCTATTTCTGGGGTGCCTCGATAGTCGAAGTAGACTCTGTGCTGTTGAGGCTAGAGAGGTGAGCAGAGTAAACCTGATTCCCCGTTTGTACTTCTCTGTTGACATCCACCCCTTGGCGCTCATATGACCTTACTTATGCAGTTGCAAACACCTAGTTGGTGGTTAGCGGGTGCTCTGGTGTGGTTTGCTCCTTCTTTCCTATCAAACATCTATCGTCCTGATCTCTCTTCTTTGTTTTTTGTGTATGTTACTAGACTCTCTTGTAACACCTCTATTCTTCAGCACTTATATGACCTCTTATTGTGTTACAAGTGCCGTAAAACTCTTAGTATTACTAAACTCCCCTTTTTCTTTGAATGTTACTCTCCAGTAACACTGCTAGTCTTGGGCTCTTATATTATGATCTGTTTGTGTTACAAGTGCCGTAAAACTCGTACTAAATCTGAGCAAACTGTTTTTTTGTTTCCAGTCTTGTGAGAACTGCATCGTGTGCTGGCGTCCCGGGGGCCACCACGAGTCGACCAAGCTGAAGGCGGAGGAGAAGGAGAAGGAGAGCGTGTGGGTGCTGCACCGGTTCGAGTACCGGGAGTGTGAGATCTGGTACATGAGGTTCTCCCTCGACTACAACCAGCAGGTGGGACAGATGTGTACCGTGGGTGGTTTGGGCGGGTGCTCTGGTGTGGTTTGTTTCTTCTTTCTTATCAAACATCTATCGTCTTTGTCTCCCTTCCTTCTTTCTTTTTTGTGTTTGTTTCTCTCTTGTAACACTTCTAATCTGCAGCACTTATATGACCTTATTGTGTTGCAAGTGCCATAAAACTCCTACTAAAACTAAGGTGTGTACCGACACGACACACAGGCTGTCTCCCACACGGGGTATTTGACTACATGATAATTCTTGTACTGGTTACTTTCAAGAAAGGAGTGTATGGTAAATGATAAATGTGGGTGGGTGGCGGGTGCTGGTGTGGTCTGCTTCTTCTATCCCATCAAACATCTATCGTCTTTATCTCCCCTTTTTATTTTTTATGTTTGTTACTCTCTTGTAACACCTCTAATCTTCGGCATTTATATGACCTTATAGTGTTGCAAGTGCTGTAAAACACTTACCAGAACTAAAAAAACGACAAATGCCTGTTCCCTTTTCTATGTGGTATAATGATGCAATAGTATTGAGGTTGCACTGAAGAAAAGGATGAGTGTTATTGATAGTGCAAGTCGTAGTCTTATGGTAACAACTTCTCAGGGTGCAAAAAGTTTGCAGGCTTCCGTTTGATAAATTTGCTTTAGATGTTTGGAATTTCCACCCTCACCGGACCAACAAATGGCTGCTTAACATTGAGGACTCTTGGTGCTTAAAAATTAAGTTGATGATGACATCGATTATGATGATGATGACGATGAGGATGTATATATATATATTCTTTGTCGTTCAGTTGTCAGGGAGGAAACCTTTCAGGGTTTTTCTTCTAGTTGTGTTTTTTCTCTTCTTTTTGTAAGGATTTCTATAGAGAAATATTTATTTAGGGTAAAAAGATTTGTTCAGGTATTATTTATGCAAATATTTTAAAATACGATCTAGCGTACCGAGAATGGTTCTATGAAGCACTGGCTGTACAGTGTAACCCTGGACCAGAGGTGATTTGG